ACTGTGCCACAGTGCCAGCCCCTCCCTAATTCTTTCAAATAAATAAATAAATCTTTTATAAAAGACTATATATATATATACACATACATACATACATATATATATCTTGCTATGGCTTGGAAGCAAACAGATTTAAGTGTTCTTGACTTTAAGTATAAGAATAAATTCTAACTTTTGCTATCACTTTTGGGACTGTTTGATGGATGTTGCAAAGACAAGGAATCAGCATCTCTCGATAGTGTCAGGTATTCTTAGAGAGACTCAGAAACTCAAAAGCTCTCATTCTGTCACCCATCACAAGCGTCTCAGACAAATGGTTTTCAAAAGTTGGTGATAGGTTTCTCCCTTTATGTGGGTAGTTAATAGCATTTTGGCTACTGAATAGTAAGATTATAAGCAAAACACTAGAGAAATCATTAAGTCCAATTTTTTTTAAAGGTTTATTTATTTGAAAGGCAGAGTTACAGAGAGGCAGAGAGAGAGAGAGCCTTCTATCTGCTGGTTCACTCCCAAAATGGCTGCAATGGCCAGAGCTGGGCCAACCTGAATGAAGCCAGGAGCTTCTTCTGGGTCTCCCACTTGGATGCAGGGGCCCAGGCACTTGAGCCATTTGCTACTGCTTTCCCAGTCCATAACAGAGAGCTGAATCAAAGCAGAGGACCCAGGTCTCAAACCAGTGCCCATATTGGATGCAGGCACTGCAGGCAGTGGCTTTACCCAGTTACGCTACAGCAGCAGCAAGTCCAACTTTTTAAAGATTGTATTTATTTGAAAGCCAGAGGGAGGGGGAGAGGAAGAGGGAAAGGTCATCTGCTGGTTCACTCCCCAGATGGCCATAATGGCCAGGTCTCTCATGTAAGCAGTATGGGTTCAAGCACTTGGGCCCAGGCACATTAGCAGGAAGCTGGATCAGAAGTGGAGTTGTGGGCCGGCGCCGCGGCTCACTAGGCTAATCCTCCGCCTAGCGGCGCCGGCACACCAGGTTCTAGTCACAGTCGGGGCACCAGATTCTGTCCCGGTTGCCCCTCTTCCAGGCCAGCTGTAAAGCGCACGAGAGTTTTATTGCAGGTCCGGGCCTGGACTCTCTCTTTTTCTTTTTTATTTTTATTTATTTATTTTTTTTGACAGGCAGAGTGGACAGTGAGAGTGAGAGAGAGAGAGAGAGAGAGAGAGAGAAAGGTCTTCCTTTGCCATTGGTTCACCCTCCAATGGCTACCACACCGCGCTGATCCGAAGGCAGGAGCCAGGTGCTTCTCCTGGTCTCCCATGGGGTGCCGGGCCCAAGTACTTGGGCCATCCTCCACTGTACTCCCGGGCCACAGCAGAGAGCTGGACTGGAAGAGGGGCAACCGGGACAGAATCCAGAGCCCTGACCGGGACTAGAACCCAGGGTGCCGGCGCCGCAAGGCGGAGGATTAGCCTAGTGAGCCGCGGTGCCGGCCCCGGGGCCTGGACTCTCAATCAACACCGACACAGCTGGTCTGAATTGAGAGCTCCGACCCTTTAGTTAACAGGGTTTTTATAGGGTTTTCAGAGACATTCTATATATCCTGGTACCATTCAACAAATCATCTCATTCCATGGGAAATTCAAAGGACATCTCTTGGAACTGATCAGTGCATCCAGTGGCGGGAACGGACCTAGTAAAGGTGGTTGGATGGCTTTGGGGTCGATGCCTTTTAAATTGATTGGCCGAAGCATAGGGTCTGAGCTGCTGGGGTGTATGTGCCGAACTGCAGGGTCTCAGGTAGCTATCAATCTCCTTATCTGCCTTGAGAAGACACCAGAAACTCTAGGTATTTCTCTGTTATCTACTAATTGGCTATTGCTAGGAGAGTTTATTTCAAGGGAAGTTCATTTATTTACTTTTAGGAGCTTCTGGCTCAGGGTTTAGGGCCTGGTCAGGCCCAAGTTACAAGATGGAGGCCTAATTTAAAATAGTTGCACCTGGATCCAGGCTCAGGTCTCAGAGTAGCCAGACTTGAACAGGGGCTCCGATATGGGATTGCCAGCGTCATAAGCAATGTCTTCACCCCCTGTGCCACAACAACACTGGCCCCAAGTGCATTTCTTTTTGCATAAATTCTCTATGGTAAAACAAACTGATGAGTATTTCAGAAGCCATTTGGTATAACACCTGAGCTCAGAAACTTCCAAATATATTTACTACAGAAAAATTCACACAAACTATAGATTTAAATGTCTCTCATGAAAGAACATTTCTGCTTAAGAGATAATAAAAAGTTTATTATGTTTGGAGTAGTTAAAATTACTGAGACTGGCCGGCGCCGCGGCTCACTTGGCTAATTCTCCACCTGTGGCGCCGGCACCCCGAGTTGTAGTCCTGGTCGGGGTGCCGGATTCTGTCCCGGTTGCCCCTCTTCCAGGCCAGCTCTCTGCTGTGGCCCAGGAGTGCAGCGGAGGATGGCCCAAGTGCTTGGGCCCTGCACCCACGTGGGAGACCAGGAGGAAGCACCTGGCTCCTGGCTTCGGATTGGCGCAGTGCGCTGGCCGTAGCGGCCATTTAGGGGGTGAACCAATGGAAGGAAGACCTTTCTCTTTGTCTCTCTCACTAATCTCCTGTGGAAAAAAAAAGTTACTGAGACTGAGAAATGACTTACTAGCGCCTTACACATTAAAAAGCTGATTTAATGCTGTCACTTCACTCCTAGTTCAGTCCACTGTCTACATCACATTTGAAATTTTTTATTTTTCACTCTGAAAGGCAGAGACTATTGAAATAAATATTTTTATCTGGTCTTCACTCACTCTCCAAATGCTCACAGCAGAGACTAGGCTTGGCTAAGCCAGGAGCTCTAACTCCATCTTGGTCTCCCATGTGGGGAGCAACCCGGACTAGACTAAGTTGCTGGAATTGAGACTTGTTCTGTGCATCTGCTCTCCCACAATATGGCGCTGGGAGAGAAGAAAACGGCTTCTACACAGCTGCCTCCAGTTCAGCCAATGAACTGTGGGACTTGCTCCTGATTGGAGGAGAGCAGCGTGCTCGGCGTGTGGGCGGCCGAGTTGGGATTGGCGGAGGAGGACTGTGAGGGAGGGGAGAGGCGGCATGCACCAGGAACATCTGAAGGAACATCTAAGAGGAACATCTGAGGGGAACACCTGTGCAGCCCCCGAGAGAGCCGGCCGGCGGTGTGCCGCTCCCCTGCGGAGGTGGGGAGTGTGGCAGGGGGGGCCGCCCTTCCACAGAGGTGGAAGGGACAGTAGCCAACCCGGGAAGAACCAGCAGCAAACCCGGGGAGGGCCGAGCAGACGAAGGACCAGCGCAGGGTCCTGTGTCGTTCCTCCACGAAGAAGGGGAGCGACGTGATGGTGCCGTGACTCGGATATGAAGCCTGGGCAGGGTTTGGTGTCGTTCCTCCATGAAGAGGGGGAGCGACATCCCACATGGGTGGCAAGGACCCAAGTTCTTAAGCCATTATCTGCTGACTCCCAGGGTGTTCATTAATAAACAGAAAGTTGGATGAGAAGTGGAGGAGCCAGGGCTTGAACCAGGCACTCCCATAAGTGATGTGGCATCTAAAGCAGTTTCTCAAGCAGTTTTTTTTTTTTTTTTTTTTAAGATTTATTGATTTATTTGAAAGGCAGAGTTAGAGAGAGAGGTTTCCCATCTGCTGATTAACTCCTCAAAAGGCCACAAGAGCTGGGGCTGGGTGAGGCTGAAGCCAGGAGCCAGGAGCTTCTTCCAGATCTCCCATGTGGGTGTAGGGGCCCAAGGACTTGGACCAACCTCCACTGCTTTCCCAGGCACATTAGCAGGGAGCTGCATCAGAAGTAGAGCAGCAGGGACTTGAACCCATGCCAATATGGGATATGGCGCTTGCCCTCTATGCCCCTCAAGCAGCATCTTAACTAACATGGCAAATGCTTGCCTCACATTACTTATTAAAAATGTTTTTTCATTATATTTGAAAGAGAAAGAGAGAAGAGAGAGATCTTGCATCTGCTGGTTAACTCCTCAAATGCCCGTTAACAGCTGGGGATGGACCAGGCTGAAGCCAGGAACCTAGAACAAGTCCAGGTCTCTCCTGTGAGAGGCAGGATCACAAGCACTTTCAGCCGTTACTGCTGCCTCCCAGGGAGCTGCATCAGAAGTGGAGGAGCCAGCCGGCGCCGTGGCTCACTAGGCTAATCCTCCGCTTGTGGCGCCGGCACACCAGGTTCTAGTCACGGTCGGGGCGCCGGATTTTGCCCGGTTGCCCCTCTTCCAGGCCAGCTCTCTGCTGTGGCCCGGGAAGGCAGTGGAGGATGGCCCAAGTGCTTGGGCCCTGCACCCCATGGGAGACCAGGATAAGTACCTGGCTCCCGCCATCGTATCAGCGCGGTGCGCCGGCCGCAGTGGCCATTGGAGGGTGAACCAACGGCAAAAGGAAGACCTTTCTCTCTGTCTCTCTCTCTCTCTCACTGTCCACTCTGCCTGTCAAAAAAATAAATAAAATAAATGGGAAAAAAAAAAAAAAAGAAGTGGAGAAGCCAGGACTTGAAGCAGGAACTCCAACATGGGATCTGTGCCCCAAGTGGTGATTTAAGCCCCGGGCCAAACCCCTACCCCTACCTGTGATAGTTGCTACACTCCCAGCACACAGCTGTTCCTCCACCACACTATGGGTGGTCAGTGCACTACAACACATCTTCTGGGTGCCCCTTTCTGATGAGCACAGCCTCTGAAGGACCCACCTGAGGGAGGTGCTGGATCCTACAGGAGCCTGGTCTGGCGGAGCTGTGGGGAGGCAGGAGCAGCCAGAGCAGCAGGCAGGCTGTTTCACACACAAGGCTTCTGCTCTAGCCAGGAGACCCTAACCCAGAGGAGAGGGCAGAGAACCCCAAGACAACCGGAACACAATTAGCTTCAGAAGTAGCTGGCTACTTGGAATTCTGATGGAAGAGGTCACCCCCGGTGTGGGCTGCTGATACCCTGAGAGTTCAGGCTCAATTCTATCTACTGGAGGCAACTCAAACTTGAGAAATAACATGACAGCTTTGATATCTGTACTTTATTTACAAGTACATGAAGAATGCCCCCTGGAAAGTCTAACTTGGGGTAAGGGCAATATAAAGAAGTCGTCGCTGGCTCCACAGTGACGTGTGAAAGAAGTTCATGCCACTGTCTCTTCAAACAATGATTTTGTTATTTAAAAAAACAAAACAAAAACCCAATGATTTCTTCTTCATGGTTGCCTAGGTGAAAATTAAAAATCAAGATGACTTCTCAAAACTCCACAGTCTCGGGTCAAATGTCGGGGTGACCCAGGCGCCACGTTCCTTCAGGGACAGCCTCTGAGCAGCAGACTCAGTACTCATCCAGAGTGTCTGCGCGGGGAATGGAGAGGCCGCGGTCCTTGAGAGCCTGCACTTTGAGCTTCTCCGCTTCCAGCTTGGTCTGCTGTTCCACCCTCTGTTCTTCCAGGATTTCTTCGATGGACACTTGCTGCAGGGGTGTGTCACTTTCCTTTTCCAAGTCCTACAAAACAAGTAGGTTGGAAAACCTTTACGAAGACCAAGAACAGGAGACATTACAGATCTAAGGGCATATGGATTCCTGTATCAGGTTCCGATTCTTTTTCATAACCATGACAGCACTGAAACACTCTCCTTGGGGCAGGTAAGTTGTTCAAAGAAGTAGGGGCAGGCGTTTGGAATAGTGGTGAATGTCCTGCTTGGGATGATGCCTGCATCCCACAGCAGAGTGCCTGGCACGTGACCTGGCTCCTCTAATGACAATCCAGCTTCCTGCTACTATGTATCCTGCGAAGCAGAAGGTAATGGCTCAAGTACTTGGGTCCCTGCCACCCATGTGAGAGATTCAGATGGAGTTCAAGTTCCTGGCTTTGGCCTGCCTCAGTCCCAGATGTTAAAGGCATTTGGGAGTAAACCAGTTGATGGAAAATCATTCTCTTTCTCTTTCAAACGCAATTAAAATACTATTAAAAATGGCTGGCAGTACTATTACAGAATTAGTATTTGTATGATAGTGGTAACAGATGTAAGTATTAGTGTGTGTAACAAAGTTTTAGGTTACCTGAAATCCTACGTAAGTAAGGATGATTTTTATTTTATTTCTTAAAAGATTTACTTATTTAAAAGGCAAAGTTCCAGAGAGAGGGAGAGGGGGAAAGGGAGAGACAGATAGCTTGGGCTGGGCCAGGCTGAAGCCAGGAGTCAGGAACCCCATTCAGGTCTCCCACATGAATGGTGGTGGTGGCCCAAGCACGTGGACCATGTTCTGCTGCCTTGCCAAGCACATTAGCAGGAAGCTGGTTTGGAAGAAGGGCAGCCAGGACATGAACCAGTGGTCACAGGCAGGCACTGCAAGCAGCAGCTTAACCTGCTGTGCCACAACCCCGGCCTAAGCATAAATGTTACATCAGTGAAGGATTCACTTGAAATTGAAAAACAAATTATACCCATTTACGTGAAAGGCAGAGTGACAGAAAGAGAAAAAGATCTACTCCCTGGTTCACTCTCTTAATGACCACAACAGCCAGGCTGGGCCAGGCCAAAGTCAGGAAGCAGCAACTCAATCCAGGTCTCCCAGGCGGGTGGCAGGGACCCAACTACTTGGGTCATCTGCTGCCTCCCAGAAGTGGGTCAGAAGCGAGCCAGGATTCCATTCCAGGCACCCCCATTATGGGAGAAGGCATCCCAAGCAGCAGCACCGTAACAGCTGCCATTACCATTTTCCTGGGTATATACTGACTTTAAATAAAACCCTACAATTCAAATGTTGACTGTAATTAGTTTCTTTTTTTTTTCATTTACTTTGGTGCAATGTATATTGGATATTTTTCTTTTTGAACGCCTTATGAACAGTTGACAGCCAGCTGAGAATGAGAAGCAGCCTGCTCTACCTTTTCTCCAGTCTGTGTTTCTGTGACAAGGAAAGCCTATGCAGACTAAGTGTTCCTGTTTCTTATCCTCTTCCCTGACTTTCAGTGATAATGGCTGGGAAGGCACTGACTCACACACCAACTCCCCAGCTGCACCAGCCTGCATCTGCTAGCCCCCAGGTCTCCGAGGTCTCCAAGCCACAGGTGGGGCGTTATCAGAGAGGGCTCACCAGAGGGCTCAGACTGAAACCCACTGTTACACAAGCCCTCCCTGGGGGTCAGGAGCTATCAGCACTCAGGCAAAATGTCCCTTATCAAGGAACACCTGCCCTCCTAAGCCGTGGGGAACAGCTGCAGGGAAGTTCCTACCCTGCATACCGCCTGCTGGGGTTTTTCAACATGCTTAGGATGATACTGCTTCCCAACAGCCAGTCTTAGTACCAAAGGCTGTGTGCATCACCACCCTGGAGGCAATGTCCCGCAGATAGAATCCAAATGGTCTCTGGGTATGCGGTGCCCTGGGGCTGATACATAACTGCCTCAAACTACTGCTTTACATAAGCATGCAAACATTCCTGAACCATTCCTCTCTAGTGGCACCTCTGTGAAACTTTCGCAGTACCCACATCCACACACACACAAACACACTTTTGTCCCCAAAAATGAGACCCCAGGAAAACAATGAGTCTTCAAGAATAAACACATTTACTTTCTTCTCCTCACTGAACGGGTGTGTCTTCCTGTCAATCTAACTAGTACAAAAGGCATGTCTATTTTGCTTACTACCATAAAACTGAAGCAAAATGTGTAATATTCTGATTTAAGTCTTTTCCTGAAATCAGAGTGATGATTCCTCTTAAAAAATTAAATTGGGGCCGGCGCCGCGGCTCACTAGGCTAATCCTCCGCCTTGCGGCACCGGCACACCGGGTTCTAGTCCCGGTTGGGGTGCCGGATTCTGTTCCGGTTGCCCCTCTTCCAGGCCAGCTCTCTGCTGTGGCCAGGGAGTGCAGTGGAGGATGGCCCAGGTGCTTGGGCCCTGCACCCCATGGGAGACCAGGAAAAGCACCTGGCTCCTGGCTCCTGCCATCGGATCAGCGCGGTGCGCCGGCCGCAGCGCGCCGGCCGCGGTGGCCATTGGAGGGTGAACCAACGGCAAAGGAAGACCTTTCTATCTCTCTCACTGTCCACTCTGTCAAAAAAAAAAAAAAAAAAAAAAAATTTAAATTGGGCCAGTGAGGAAGCTTTGTGGTGCAGCACGTTAAGCTACCATTAGGGAAGTCTATATCCCATGTCAGAGACCTGGTGTCTCCACTTTGGATACAGCTCCCTGCTTATATGCCTGGGAGGCAGCAGATGGTGGCTCAAGTACTTGATTCCCAGCCACCCCCATGTGAGCTCCAGATGGAGTTCCTGGCTCCAGCTTAGCCCAGCCCCAGCTGTGGTGGGCATTTGGGGGAGTGAACCAGCAGATGGAAGATCTCTGTCACTATCTCTCAAAGTAAAAAAAAAAAAAAAAAAAAAAAATCAGGAAAATATTACAAAGTCATGCATAATAATCCCACTACTCAGAGATTAGCCCCCTTAATACAGGCTGACTGCATCATAGTCCTTTACTGCTCGCCTTCCCCTGTACTAGATGCTTTATTTCAGCCTTTATCTAATACAGGAGAAAGACAATTTCTGCTGCTTAAACATGCAAGTCATATACTGCCCCAAATGCCAACTACGAAAACACTTTATACATAAGAAAATGGTATTTCATATATTTCTCAGTAGCAGCAGGCAGTTTGACAGTTCTGATCAGTTATTTCTACCTGCTTCCAATGAGGGTTTTTCTTTTTTCTTTAAATGGTTATTTATTTTATCTACTTGCAAGGCAGAGAGAGAGAAAAAAAAAGACAGATCTTCCATCCTCTGGCTCACTCCTCAAATGCCTGCCACAGCTGGGGCTGGGCCAGGCTGAAGCCAGGAGCCCAGAACTCCACCCAGGGCTATGACGTGGGTGACACTTGGGTCATCTTCCACTGCCTTCCAGGATGTAACAGCAAGAAGCTGGTCGGGAAGCAGAGGAGCCGGAACCCAAACCAGGACTTCAATACGGGATGCGGGAACCCTAGCAGCGCTCAGCCTGCTGCCCACAAACACAGCCCTGGCAGGAGGTTTCTGGCACAGATATCTTCTTACTTTCTCAAATGGCTTAGTGTTTAAAAGCAGCTGCAAACTAAACCAGTCTACTCACAAGATTTCTGTCAACTGACTTAAGATGTGGTTAGGTTTGGGGGAACTTAGTTTTTGGTAAGCAAACAAGAAAACAGTGATGGTTCTCTTAATTCCACCTGCTATTGAAGAGATTTTGATTTTGACTTTGCCGGCAAAATAAATAATCACAAGCAGCAGGATGAAGTCAAAGGTTTTGATAAGGTACTTGATAAAAATGTCTGAGGGACGAACCTTTGCACAACAGTTAAGTTGCTGTTGGGACACCCACATCCAGTATCAGAGTAGCTGGCTGGAGCCTGGCTCCTCTGCTTGATTCAGCTTCCTGTTAACATGCATTCTGGGAGAAGTACTTGAGCTGAAGACGGCTCAAGTACCTGGGTCCTTGCTACACAAATTGGAGACCCAGATGGGAGTTCTGGGCTCCTGGCTTCAGGCTGTCCCAGCCCCACCTGTGTCAGACATTTGGAGAGAGAACCAGCAGATGGAAGCACTCTCTCTCTGCTTTTCAAACAAAATGAGAAAACAAAAACCAAAAAATGCAGGGCTCTGTCTTTAAAACAACCTTCAAAGCAAATGTCTGGTGTCGTGGCACAGGAGGTTATGACACCCGTCAGCATCCCACGTTGGAGTACCCGTTCTAGCTCCAGCTTTCCACCTTCCCAGGAAGCAGCACAAGATGGCTCAAGTGCTTGGTCCTCTGCCACCCATGTAGGAGCCTCTGTGGAATTCCTGGCCCCAGACTGGCACAGCCTCGGCTGTTGTGAGCATCTAGGGAATGAACCAGTGGATGGAAGATCTGTCTCTCTGTTTCACTTTTGCTCTCTCTCTCCCCTCTTTTGCCTTTCAAGCAGATAATAAAGACACATTTTTTTAAAAGCCTGTGGAAAAATGGAATTAAAAAGATATATTTTGGGGCCAGCGCTGTGCCGTAGTGGGTAAAGTCGCTGCCTGCAGTGCCAGCATCCCATATTGGCACCAGTTCCAGTCTCAGCTGCTCCACTTCTAATCCAGCTCCCTGCTATGGCCTGGGAAAGCAGCAGAAGACGGCCCACGTGCTTGGGCCTTTGCACCGGCATGGGAGCCCAGGAAGAAGCTCCTGGCTCCCGGCTTCTGATGGGCCCAGCTCTGGCCGTTGTGGCCAACTGGAGAGCAAACCAGTGAATGGAAAACCTTTCTCTTTCTCTGCCTCTCTCTAACTCTGCCTTTCAAATAAATAAATCTTTAAAAAGAAAAAAAAGCTATATTTTTGTGAAAAACATTTGGAAACCCATACACATGAGGGAACTTGAAGAAGGCCATGGAAAACGTGGATTATGAAAAAGATATGTACATGCCCACACACAAAACCTAGAGTAACACTTGAGAAGATTCTCTTTAACCTCTGACCCGCCAGTTAGCCTCTCTGGCACAGACACCCAGGCACCTCCTCCCTGGCTGTGAGCTAAGGATCCAAGAGAAGCTGAGCTCCGTTCTCAAAGACTTCCACAGCCTCCCTTTGCCCTTTTTTCCTCTGAAGTACGGAGACCACTTTGTATAAGAAACTTGGCTTTCCCTCAAACACTGCTAAGTAATGTTATGTCGCGAAAGGCTACTTGTAACTAATTGCTTAAAAGACTGAAAAATATCCCCACGTGTAGAAACCACACTTTTTGTAAGTCAATGCATATAAATTAAGCCGTTTAAATTTTACGCTATTAGAGATAACATAAATAATGAATGAACTACATTTGCGTAGGGCAGCATCTTTTATGGTATCAGACAAAGCCAATGATATTTTGCTGCCAATATGATCAAAATATTTAAAATGCCCACAGGAACTGAAACAAAGCTAATTCTCCTCTGTATTCGCAATGACGGCTTTCCTAAGCTAATTTGGTGGTTGCATCACAGAAGCTGGGTGAGAGGTGGGAAATATATTTCTCCCTCTTGAAAAGACAGAAAGAACCCTGACTAGCATGAGTCCCAGGATCCATTGCAGCTTCAGAGTTTTCACTTACTATTTCTCCTAGAAGGACCACATTCTCTCCTCTGACCACAAAAATCCCTCGAGGAATATCACCGTATTTTTTGCCCACATGAATACGCTCCACAGTCTGATGTAGCACTAAGTTAGCTATAAGTACACAGGGAAGAAACAGAGATATTTAGTTCGAATTATTGGATAAAGGTCTATAACTCAATCAATCAAAATTATTTTTGAGTAGAAAAGATTCAGCTAAATATGCTTTCCAAACTTTCTAACTTTGGGAAAAGCTGAAATTTCAAATAATTGACTACTGAGTAGCATATACTGCTTAAGAGACTTTAAGCAACGGCAAACTGGAAGAGTATTTGGGATAATGCTTGGCTAATATATGAATGATGGTAGGCATATGAAAAATAAACTCCTTTACCAGCTATTGCTAATAAACACTGTTACAAGAAAATATAAATCAATAGGAAATTTGGAAAACATGAGCCTAAATAACTACAAAGACTAAAACTTTTGTTTTTGGAAGTTTTTCTTTGTCATGTATATATGCGGGTGATTATTTACTGAAGATTTCACTTTTTTTTTTTTAAAGTATTTAGGACTCATTTAATACAGTGAAGGTGTCCAGATTTGGATACAGCAAAAATCTGTTCTTTCACCTTGTTAGATAATTATACCTCATAATCTGGGAGTAAACCCAATAGTTACCACTTTACCCTCAAAGTACGCTGATGAATTTGAAGATATAAAACTCCAATCTGTTAGGAATAATTATTTTTCTTATTTCTATTAGTACTATTGTCTTATTTGAAGAAGAAATCTATGTTCATATTTTCTATAATTCTTAGGTTTCACTTATGTTGCTTTTCTTCATCCTCATACCCAAACCCAGTGACCTAGCAGGTGTCCCACATACGTTGAAGTGAACTGAGAAGTTCTTTGAAACACAAGGAACACAGATTTCTTACTTCAGCAAAGTACAGAATGTAAGACAAAGACCAAGACCCCTGAGTGTGATGTACCCTACACGTAACACACTAAGCTCAGTGTTGGGGGTCTCTAAAAAAGCTTCTGGAAATGTCTTCTACCCAATATCATTGGACAGGGAGGGATTTATCTTCAGCTCAGGAATGGCTTTGAAGAGAAGTTGCACCCAAGCCAATGTACAAAGGAGCAGCCTTTTCAGTGGACTGAGTTTATTGCTACCATTTGGCTCCCTCTATTGGGGAAATACAGAAAACTGTCCTCCGTGTAAGCACAGGTCCTAGGGAAAGCCAGTTTTCGGGCCACGGGCTTGTACACATACAGGCTTTTGAATCACCTCATCATAACGTAGGAGGCAACAATTCACTCACTTAGAACAGTTCCATTAAGTGAGACACATGTGAAAGTCATGGATAAATTTCAACATGAACCCAAAAATACAAGCAGCTCTTGCTACCCAGAATATAAGAGAAGACCAAAATTAATACATACCAAACTGATCGATGCTTCTTAAAAAGCCTATAAGTGTCCTTCCATCTCGAAGCAGGACCAAGTGCTTTTCTGAGGAGAGAGGAAAGGATCTTTAAAGCGAACCGTCAGCTTTAGTGAGCTCACAGGGTAGCAATGGTATTCACAGCAGTTTAAGCTGTGCATGAGGGGGTTTTCATGCAGTTCACAGAAAACACACACTTTAACTCCACTTCACAAACTTTTTGAAGCATCCATGTATTTAAGGTGGAGTTCACAGGAAAATGGAGGGAGGGCCAGGGCAGTGTCACCTTCAGATGAACTGAGGTGAAAAGAATGACAGCGGAGGGGCCGGCGGTGGTGTTGCAGGTCAAGCCATGGCCTGCAGGGTTGGCCCCTCTATGAGCACCTGTTCCAGTCCCATCTACTCTGCTTCCAACCCTGATAACATGCCTGGGAAAGCAGAGGAAGGTGGCCTAAGTCCTTGCACCTCTGTCCCCGTGTGGGAGACCCTGATGGAGCTCCTGGCTTCGATCTGGCCCAGCCCTGGCCATTGCAGCCATCTGGGGAGTAAACCAGTGGGTGGAAGCTCTCTCTTGCTCTCTTTCTTTCTCTCTCTCTGTAAGTCTGCCTTTCAAATACTAAGTCAATCTTTAAAAAAAAGAAATCAGAGTGGTGTGGCAGCAGGAGGAAGACAGGGCATGGAGCCAGGACGCCTGATTGCTGGCTCTAGATTCTGATGTTTGAGACTTAAACCCTCTCAGTGTCACGTCAGCTTCCGTAACTTACGAAAGCAGGTATAGATCATCTCTGTGATTGCAACCCTAGGATTATCTTCCCTTCAACTCAAAGAACTTCTATCTCACATGTGTGCCTCATATATTTGGAATAAGGACTCTGACAATAAGGTAAAGCAGAAATTCAATTAACATTTATGCAGAGCTATTTGTCGTTCTGGGATTTAGACAGCAGGGAACAAGACTTGCAGAGTCACCAGCCTCATGATGAGGGAAGACAAAAAAGGGAAACTACTTACTGTGCTTGGTACAATCACATAATAAATTAGTAGATGGTGTGATTGGGGGTGGTGGTTATGTAAGAGTAGGTGGCAAAAGACAACCTCTCTGAAGAGGTAACTTCAAGCTGACACTGGAGAATCAGAATAACCAGTTACTAAGAAAGCCTGCAAGATTTCGTTCACTCATTTCTTTAATATCAGACACAGAACAGAGAAGACGTGGTCCTGAAGGAATTTATAGTCTCGCCGGGCTAAGGACAAGTGCCACAGAAAGCAAATCTGGAGAGAGAGAAAGAGAGATTGCATCTGCCTGTAGGAGGTATCCAAATCAGACCTTGAAAGGTAGTTAATTTTTGGTCATGGGAAGAGTGACATGGAAGGGGACAGCAAGCTGCAAATCAGGAGGGGGAAAAGAACCACACAGCCTTTTGTTTGGCTGGAAAGGTTGAGGGCATGAAGGGAAAGAGGAAGTGAGAAAGTGAGAAAGGGACTGAATTTGCATTTGACTTCACAAGGAACAAGAGACCATGGAGGGCCGATTCAACAGAAAAGCAGTTCTGAGAGAGTTTCCAGAGCCTGAGGCAGAGGGGAGACCTGAGCAAAGGCAGAGATGGGGAGACAATGAGAGGGCTACGTGCAGCATAGTCACGTGGCTTGTCTGCTCGCTGAATCTGGACACGTGGGTATGCCCGGGAGGGAGGGGTGCTGGAGAGGACACGGAGGTGTTTTTTTTGTTGTTGTTGTTGTTGTTTTTTTTTTTTTTAACAGGCAGAGTGGACAGTGAGAGAGACAGAGAGAAAGGTCTTCCTTTGCCGTTGGTTCACCCTCCAATGGCTGCCACAGCTGGCGTGCTGCGGCCAGCATACCGTGCTGATCCGAAGGCAGGAGCCAGGTGCTTCTCCTGGTCTCCCATGGGGTGCAGGGCCCAAGCACTTGGGCCATCCTCCACTGCCTTCCTGGGCCACAGCAGAGAGCTGGCCTGGAAGGGGGGCAACTGGGACAGAATCCGGTGCCCCGACCGGGACTAGAACCCGGTGTGCTGGCGCCGCTAGGTGGAGGATTAGCCTAGTGAGCCACGGCGCTGGCCACGGAGTTTTCAGTCATCACCCCAGGCTGGCCTAACACTTGGTATCAAAAGAAGCACGTTCAGGGCAGAGAGGATTGTTAGCTGGTTTGTGACCCTAAGGTGCCTTCGGAGTATCTACAGAGAAATGCTGGAAGTCAGTCTGGAAGACAACAAGGAGGTCAGAATCAGAGACAGTAATCTGCAGAGAGGTGCTACAACCGCTCAAGTCCAGAAGGTGGGAATGAGGGTGCAGGGTAACAGACGTGGTCCACCGATGGCACTCGGGAAGTAGCGTCTGCGTGGAGCTGACTTAGGAGATCGGAGATGAAGACCTGGAAAATGGATGGCAGTCTGATGGGGAGACAGCACAGAAAAAAATCTGAGGGGAAGAGACAGTGACATATGACGGGAAACTCGAGAGGTGGGGAGCGGGGCGGGAGAGAATAAGTAGAAGAGGACAATGGAAGAAGGCTCCAGAAGCAATGGGAGTAAAAAGTAATAACAGATATAAACAGAAAGGGAGCAGTACTTTTTTTTAAGATTTACTTATTTATTTGAAAGTCACAGAGGGAAAACAAACATGAGACAAAAGAGATCTTCCATCCGCTGGTTCACTCCTGGAATGGCTGCAATGGCCAGGGCCCAGCCAGGCCGAAGCCAGGAGCTTCATCTGGATCTCCCACGGGGTGCAGGGACCCAAGCACTTAGATCATCTTCTGTTGCTTTCCCAGGTGCATTAACAAGGAGCTGAACTGGAAGTGGAGCAGCTGGGACTCAGACTAGCACCCATATGTGATGCCAGCACCCCAAGTGGAAGCTTAACCCATCACACCGCAGTGCTGGATCCAGAGCAATACTTTCTACTCGAAAGACAAGAGGAAGGAAAACAAAAAACAAAAAAACCTAAGGACAGAGAAGAAAGAGTATGTGTGAGTATTGGGATGGCACAGTGAGGGGTCTATGTAAATTGGTTTCAAACTTTTCAATAAAGGGGGAAGCCAGAAATCTACAAAGAGCTAGGAATTAGAAGGCCCAAGAACAAAGATGATTTTTAGTAAAATGGCAGAATGTGTTAAGCACTTGGGATAACTCAGGTAAATACAGAGAGGTGAGGGCCAGAGGACACCCTCAAACAACTAAAGTGGAACATTGCATCCTTAGAGAGAAGCTTGGACAGTGGTTGCTAATACACGGATTTGGTCCAGTGTATGCTACATTTCCCTTCAAGAGCAAAAGAGGTAATTTGGGTTTAAAGGGATCGCAACCACAAAACGGCAATTTAATCACAACTTCCCGCTTTCATCTGCAGGTGACTGTAGCTCGTTTGTGTGTGAGCCATTTCGCAGCAATTACCGGTTAATGAGACACATACGACTGAAATGACAAAAACCGCTGCTTGAGGAGTAGACGAGGATTTAGAAAAAGAAGCTTTTGTACTGGCTTGAGCTCCTCTTTCGGGCAAGGAACTAGGAATAAGGGAAGTCTTGGAGACCGAGAGAGAAACAAAGCGGGTTTCCGGTGACAGCCTTCCCAGAAGAGTCGGCAGCAAGGCTTGCAGTGGTTTCTACCAGGAAATCGCCATGGTCACCACGAAAGCTGTGAACAGCTACACAACAGGAAGTCGAGCGTGACTGCCAACTGAATCCAAGTGCGGCTGTCTTGGACCTGACGTTCCTTCTCTTTGATTTTATTTTTAAAGATTTATTTATGGCTGGCGCCGCGGCTCAATAGGCTAATCCTCCACCTAGCGGTGCCGGCACACCGGGTTCTAGTCCCGGTCGGGGCGCCGGATTCTGTCCTGGTTGCCCCTCTTCCAGTCCAGCTCTCTGCTGTGGCCCGGGAGTGCAGTGGAGGATGGCCCAGGTGCTTGGGCCCTGCACCCCATAGGAGACCAGGAAAAGCACCTGGTTCCTGGCTTCGGATCAGCGAGGTGAGCCAGTCGCAGCATGCCGGCCCTGGCAGCCACTGGAGGGTGAACCAACGGCAAAGGAAGACCTTTCTCTCTGTCTCTCTCTCTCACTGTCCACTCTGCCTGTCAAAAAAAAAAAAAAAAAAAAGATTTATTTATTTGTTCGAAAGAGTTACACACAGAGAGAAGGAGAGGCAGAGCGAGAGCGAGCGAGCGAGAGAGACAGACAGGTCTTCCATTTGCTGGTTCACTCCCCAATTGGCCGCAACGGCCAGAGCTGCACTGATCCGATGCCAGGAGCCAGGAGCTTCCTCCGGGTCTCCCACGTGGGTGCAGGGGCCCAAGAACCTGGACCATCTCCTACTGCTTTCCCAGGCCACAGCAGAGAGCTGGATAGGGAGAGGAGCAGCAGGGACTCGAACCGGCGCCCATATGGGATGCTGGCACTGAAGATGTCGGCTTTCCCCGCTACGCCACAGCGCAGGCCCCTCTCTGATCCATATATAACTGATCCATACACATTATACGCATCCATGGGTAATGTATGATGCATGGATAAACACATACATTGTGTAAAGCTCGAATCAGGGTAAACAAATCTAGGTCCTCAAATACCTATAATCTCTCCTTGTGGTGGAAACCTTCAAAATCCTTTTTTTTTTTTTTAATACAAGAAAAATCTTCACCACACTGTCGTCATGCACGAGCACCATCACCTTTATAGTAGGAAAGGAACACCAGCACTTCTGACTGCTGACCCTAACTTAGAGCCCGTTAATTAGCCTTTCCCGATTATCCCTCCCGCCCGCTGTTTCCTGCTCTGAGGAATTCTTTCCACGCAAGCGTTCGCGTCCGAGCAGGGGTTAACAACCTGGCACCTCCAAACACAGCAGGCGGGAGCCGGTGCACCGGGACCTCCGCGGCGCGACACACGCAGCTCGTGGCTCCCCAGGCGGAGAGCCTGGGAGAGGCTGGAGAGAGGCGGAGGGGCGGCCACGCGGTGGGCCCCGGGCCCCTGGGAGCGCGCACGGAGCTCAGAACACAGCACCCCCGGCCCGGGAGGAGGGAGGGTCTCGCCCCAGGCTCCGCTGGGCTACTCACTGTCGATGTCCTCGATGAGGCTGGCGGTGCCGGGCATATAGTTCATCTTGAGCTAAGATAAGGCTGCCAGGCAGCGAGCAGCGGCGAACCAGCGCCTCCAACAACTCCTTCCCCCCGCTGAAGTCGCCGCCTCGGCGGGATCGGGACACAAACCCCGACCCGGGCCAGCACCTGAGCCCCGGCTTTCAGCCGCCGGGGGCCCGCCGGAAACCCCTTCATTTCACTCCCACCCACTTCCGGTATCACGTGCCCATCTCCAGGAAGAGGCGGGGCAGTCGAGCGGTCCCGGAGACACCATTTCCCAGTCCCTGAGGAGTAGGGAGAAGGAGGAATCTGCATTAGCTAGACTGTGGGAGAAAAATGTGCCTACTCTCTTAAGGAACACGGTGCCTCCCCTTGGGTTTCCTCCTCCCGGAGCCCCGGAGTCATCGGCTTCCTCCCCTCAACTTCCGGGGTTCGGCGGCAGAGGGGGCGGGACCTGCCTGGGATTGGCTGTTGTCGTCCACGCCCCCTCGCCCCAGGCGCCTGCGCAGTAGGCCGGCCGTGGGGGGCGGGAAGCTCTTGGGGGCAGCGGAGCCCATGTCGGCCCTGAGGCGCTCGGGCTACGGCCCCAGTGACGGTCCGTCCTACGGCCGCTACTATGGGCCGGGAGGTGGAGATGTGCCAGTGCACCCGCCTCCACCCTTGTATCCTCACCTTCGCCCGGAGCCTCCTCAGCCTCCCATTTCCTGGCGGGTGCGCGGGGGCGGCCCGGCCGAGACCACCTGGCCTGGAGAAGGCGGAGGAGGCGATGGCTACTATCCCACGGGAGGCGCCTGGTCGGATTCGGGTCGGGCCGGAGGAAGCCACCAGGTCTGTGTCCCGGAGGGGATGCGGTGGGGTTGGGGGGGTGGTCTTTGGGTGATGACAGCCATTGGGATTGGTCTGCATCTGGGGTTCGTCCTGGATCTGGTTTCGTGTTTGTTTTCCTTATGGCGTGGGGTATTGGAGAGACGAAGACTGGTACAGTTAAAAAAAAAAAAGGGCGAAGGCCGACTTGGCGCGGGGTGTTGGGGGCTGGAGTGGCACGGCCCTGCCCCTCCTGCGTGGCTCCGCGACCGGGCTCCCCGGCGAGGGAAGCGGCCGCAGCCCCTCCGGCACGGAGCGGAGAAGGAACCGAGTGAGGGGGCAGTCTGGGCGTTTAGCCTTTGCCCTTACTGCCTTGCCCAGGGCTGACTCCCTGCTAGCCCGCGTTGTAAAAACACCTTTGCGTAGACTGCTGTATTTGATCTTCCCAAGGACTGCAAGGCCAATGCCATTTACTGCATCCCTATTTGCAGATAAGTCTCTGAGAGATGAACTCGCTTAAACGCACTTGGTCCCGTAGCACTGTGTTCTTTCTAGTCCGGCCCGAACTACACCTCTGTTTTTGTTAGTGCAGTATTCTGAGGAGGGGGCTGCGGAGTCTCGCCGCTGTGTTGGTTCAGGAATAGTAACATCCTCTTTTGTTGAAAATGTAATACATCGCCGGTGGGAATGTAAAATGCGGCAGTATCCTGGGTTGTTGCTGGTCAAGTCCCGGCGGTGCTCAGCTTGGGATCCAGCTTCTTGCTGATCTGCCTTGGAAGGCATCAGAAGATGGCCCAAGGGGTTGAGCCGCCGCCACTCCTGTGGGAGACACAGATGGAGTTCCTGGCTCCTGGCTTTGGCCTGGGCCGGACCTGGGTGTTGTGGCCATTTGGGGAGTGAATGTCAGATGGCAGATCGCTCCTCTGTTACTCTGGCTTTGAAATACATTTTAAAAATCTTTAAAAATAGATAAATAAAATGGCACAGTGTTTTGGAAGATGGTTTGACAATTCCACAAAACATGAAGTATAGAGTTAGTATGTAACCCAGCAAGTCCAGTTAGCTGTATATCCACTTGAGAACTGAAAACATATCCCTGTAGAGACTTGTATGAGCATATTTGAAGCACCGTTGTTCAAAACAGCCAAACGGGAGATCACTCAGTTGTCCATCAGCTGATGAGTGGATACACAACATGTGGCATATTCATAGAATGCAATGTTACTTGGCCATATGAAGAAATGAAATACTGAGACATGCTGCAACGTAAATGAAGTATGAAAACATCACACCATGTGAGCGAAACCAGTCCCAGAATGCATGTTGTATAATTCCATTTACATGAGATGTCCAGAGTAGGCATATCTGTAGAGGTGTTGGGGGACTAGAGGCGTTGGAGAGCATGTGGGATATTTTTTAAAGTTCATTTATTTTTATTTATTAGAAAAGCAGTGACAGAGAGAGAGAGAGAGAGAGATATCTTTGTTCGTTGGTTACTCCCCAAATGCCCGCAGTCGCTAGGACTGGGCCAGTCTGAAGCTAAAGCCCAGAACTCAGTGGGAGTCTTTTGAATGGTTAGCAGGGACCCAGGTACTAAACCATCATCTGTTGCCATCCAGAGTATGCTGCACAGGGTGCTGGATTGGGTGTGGAGGTGGGGCTTCATCACAGGCACCCTGGTATGGGATGTGGGTATCCTAAACAGAGTTTTAACCCACTATGCTGTAATTATTATTACTATTTTCTTTGAAAGGCAGGCAGGCAGGCAGAGGTCTCCCATTGGCTGATTTACTCCACAGATGCCTGCAACAGCTGGGGCTGGGCCAGGCCAAAGCCGGTTGCTCAGTCTGGGTCTCCATTACCTGCTCAGCCTTCCACGGTACACATTAGCAGGAAGCTGGAATTGGGTGAGGACCTGGAACTTGAACCCAGATACTCTGATATGGCATGTGGGCGTCCCAAGCAGTGTCCTAACTGTTGCACTAAGGGCCTGCCTGCCTCTAGGGTTTCTTTTTTGGGTTGATGAAATGTTTTAAAATTAGTAGTGATGATTGCACAACTTTGAGTAGACTGAAAGTCATAGAATTGTACGTTTTAAAAGGATGAGTTTTATGATATGTTAATTATGTCTCAGTAAAATTTTTTATGAGAAATGTGTCACAGGTAGAAGTTAATTGTAAAGAAAGATCCTTATTGTCTTTGCCTGGAGCTGGACTGAGTGAGCCATGGGACTTCCGTGGTTCAGTGATGAAATGCCTGCCCTAGAGAAGCAGCCAAATTAGATCAAAGATCAGTTGAAGGGAAAAAGAAAGGACTTCAAACTGATGGCTTGCTTCTCTTGGGCTTGCTGTGTTATCAAAGCAAAAGTATAGGTTTTTGCAATTTTTTTAAACTTGAAAGAGAGAAAGACAGATGGACAGACACAGAGAGGCCCTCCGTTTGCTGGTTCCCAGTCCCTCCCCCCACTCCCCGCTCCAATGCCCACAGTTGCCAGGGCTGATGCAAGCTGAAGCCAGAAATCTAGAATTCAATGCAGGCCTCCCGGGTGGGCGGCAGGGACCCAACTACTTTAGCCATCACCTGCTGCCACTCAGGTTCTGCATTAGCAGGAAGCTGGAATCCATAGCAGAGCTGGGACTCAAACAGGAACTCAAACTTAGGAATACTGCTGTAGCAAATGCTTACCGCTAAAGTGTTTTTTGAGGTGGAGTTGGGAACGTGTTGCATAAGCTAGAGAAGTGAAGATTTTCGTGTTGTGTAGGAAGTTGTCAGATTTGACTCAAGTAGTCGTGTGCCCATTGGGTGGGTGATGATGCGGAGTGGTTGAAGACACAGCTGAAAATGTGTAATGGGCATTTGTAAACCATTTTTAGAGTTTGTACTTAATATTTCAGGTTGATGATTGGGAAACTGTAGAAGTCTAGGCTGATCATTTCTTAGGTAGCATTGGAAGACTAAAACAAAACAACACGTTATTATAGATGTTGCAAAATTTTTCTCTGATTTGTTCTCTTACCTTTTGTTTTTTTACATGTAAGTTTTATGTTTTTATATTATCACATTTGTTAAGCAAAAAGAAAAAAATTAAGTATAGAAACCCTTTAAAATCTTGCTGCTTGTGAAGAATGGTCCATGGACCAGACCATGAGACAGAAATGGGTACTGTTGCGGCTGCTTTCCAGTATTGGCATCCCCTGTGGGCACTGGTTGGTGTCCTGGTTGCTGTCCCGGTTGGTGTCCTGCCTGGGAAAAGCAGTGGAAGATGACCCAAGTGCTTGGGATACTGCTACCAATGTGGGAGAGCTATATGAAGTTCCTGGCTCCTGGCTTCATTCTGCCCTTCCCCCTTCTTTCTCTATTACTCTGCCTTTCAAATAAATAAATAAATATTTTTAAAAAAGTGAAATAGGGAACTTTGAGATGTTAAAAATGAAGGCACAGCCTACCAAAACTTAGGAGATGCAGCTAAAGTAGTGCTTAGAGGAAAATTTATAGTGGTAAATGCCTGTACTAAGAAATAGTATCTCAAATCTTCTGCCTTAAGACACTGGCAAGGGAAAAGCGCTTACAGCTTTTTCTTGTAGAGGGATGCCAAGAGTTCTGAACATTTGTTAGCACACGAATAGGGCCTTAGCAAAGGCGACAGAGGAGACTCTACATCTGTGCAGGGTACTCACTCAACTCACACATTGCCAAAATTCGAGGCTGGAGGCTGAATCATCTTCCCACAGCCTATGGAAATATTATGGAGTTGGAAACTGTAGAGATTGGCATTACATGTTCCAGACAGAGATGTGCTTTTTTGTGTATAAAGTTGACTTTCCATTTTCAGTTCAGGTATGTTTTTAAAAATTTTTATTTATTTGAAAGAGAGAGAGGAAAGGAGAGATACATCTCTTCTATCTGTTAATTCACTCGACAAATGCCTGTTAATAGCCAGGGCCTTGGAACTCAGTTGAGGTCTCCCATCCAGGTGCAGGGACCCTATTCCTCTCAGAGTACACACTAGCAGGAAGCTGGAATTGGAAGCAGAGCTGGGACTTGAACCCAGATACTTAAGTATGGGATGTGGGCATCCCAAGCAGTGCCTTAACTGCTATGCCAAATGCCCACCTCTCAAATACACTCATTGACCAAAATGATAGCGATTGAGTGCAGACTTTCAGTTGGCACCAATGAGAAGATTCGGCTGAATTCCCTCATTGCTAGTATTTAAGTCCTCAGAAACCTGATGGTTGCAGAGGTCTAGAAGCTGGAGTGGAATTGAGAGTCTAGGTATAAACTTACCTGTCCTGGTTAGTTGATTCTCAACAAGGGTGCCAAGATCATTCAGTGGGGAAAAAGAAGAGTCTTTGCAGTAGTTGGTGCCATGACAACTGGATAATCACATGCCAAAGAATGACTTTGACCCCTTATTTCACACCATTTACAAAAGCTAAGTCAAAAGGGATTATGGGAGTAGCTGTAAGAGCTACAACTGGAGGCAGGTGTTGTAGGGGATGCAGTTGTTAAGCTGCCGCTTGGGATGCCTGCATCCCATATTGGATTGCCTTGTCGGAGGCCTGGCTACTCTGCACTTCCAATTCAGCTTTCTGCTAATACCCCCTAGGAGCCAGCAGATGATGGCCCAAGTACTTGGTTTCCTGCTACCCACTTTGGTTCCTGGTTCCTGGCTTTGGCCTGTAATAGTCTTAGCTGTTGTAGGCATTTGGAGAATGAACCAGCTAATAGAAGATTGATCTCTCTCTCTCTCTCTCTTTCTGTTTCTCTGCCTTTCAAAGGAAAAATGTCTTTTTAAAGCTAAAACTATACAGATGACACCAAAAGCAAAAATGAAAAAAATAAAGTCAGCTTCATCAAAATTGAAAAGCTTTTATACTTCAAAGGATGCTATGAAGAAAGTGAAAAGGAAGATATTTGTAAATGGTACATTTGAAAAGGGACTCTTTTGTATCTCTAATATATAAAAGGCTGTTAAAACCCTGCAGTGAAAAGACAACCTGATTAAAAAATGGGCTAAAAAT